ACCCACAAACTCGTGTTTCTCATCCTGCAACTCTAATCGCGGTAGTTTACTGGAATTCTTCCTCTGGCGGTCCCAACAACGGCTTCACTGAATCAGAAGATGGAATTTCCACAGGCCACACTGAGCTTTTTGTATTACTAAACCAGCCAACAAAGAAGGGCTCATCATTTTTGCTGGTAAATTGCTCCAAGTTACTAAGGGTAAATGGAGGGGCTGCCTTGACACTGGAGGAAGAGAAGCCAGTGTCCACAGCCCAGGACACTCTCAGAGGTGCCTTTGAGTCCCATCAAACCCAGCACTAAGCATTAAGGCAAACTATGGCAATAAATATAAAAATGATTGCTAATATTTAGAATCTTGGGAGTGAAGACCTGTGTTAGTTCCACTAAGAATGACTAGTTGAGACTCCATTGACTGTGTAACAGACATAACTCGGGACTGTAGCCACTACATAAGTTGTCTTCCTAGCTTATGTGTATACTGATGCTTGCTTTTCTCCTCTCCTTCACTACTGTTCACCTTTGTTTTATGTCAGGATTGTTACTACCTCCCGACCAGTTAGTTTCTGGTCAGGAAGAACCTGGAGGCATCCAAAACAATACAAGCTATTATCATTCCTCCTGACCGCCCACCATAACTAAATCCTTTCTGCTGAAGACACCACACACTTTGGTACACCTCAGAGAACTCAATCTTGAACTGGGCAGGAAACTCCCTGCTGTTCAAAGTGCTGAGAATAAGTGACTGTGAATGCTCAGAGGTAGACAGGACATCTACATCCACTCCCCGACCTGACCCCAGGCTTTGGGAACACTAAGGACAGAATGATGAGAAGAGCTGGAGGATGGGGAGGAGATGAGAAGTGCTGTCCCCTGGACAGGGCAGAGCTGATGCACACAGGAACCCACAGCAGCTGTCATTACCTGCACAAGATCAAGCTAGTTAAAAATTCCAGCAGGGAGGGAGGGAGGAGCTCCTGAGACTCACCCCTAGCTGGAGAGCTACTGTTAGTTGATGGATGCTGGGGGAGAGTCACTTTTCTTTGCGAGTGTGGCCACTGGTAGGTTACTCATACCCCAGTGGATGACCACACATCCATGTACATATGGCAGTACTAATTAGAGCCAGTGGGTTAAAAGAATAAATAAATATTAATTAAAAGGAGGACATGAAGTTAGGAAGGAGATGTGATGAGAGACTCATAGGGGAAGCTGGAGAGGAAGGTGGGGAGTGAAGATATTCAAGATACATTATATACATGCATGAAATTTTCAAAGAATAAATAAAATTTTTTAAGATATTGTTACTGTCATTAACTTTACAAGTCACTATTTTAGAATGCCGGGGTGGGACTGCATAGAGCAGACATCATCACCCAAACAAGGCTATGGTGACTGACCTCTTCAGAGGATGGAAACATCTTTGTGAAAAGGGTGGTTGTGTCTTATTGGGCCAAGTCAACATGCTATTAAAATAGAGGTATTTAAATAGGTGCTGTGTCAGTCACTTTCCTTCCTGCTGTGATCAAATACCTGACAAGAGCAACTCATGAGAGGAAGGGTTTGTCGAGGCTCACAGATGGAGGGCATGGTCCATCGCGTAGAGAAGTCACGACAGACGTGTGAGGCAGCTGGTCATATACCCAGTCAGGAATCAGTGATGAACGCTGGTGTTTACCTTGCCTTCTTCCTTGTACTGTCTAGAATTTCAACCCATGGCATAGTGCTACTCACATTTAAGGTCTGGAAACACCCTCTGTCTTAGTTAGGGTTTTTATCGCTATGATAAAATGTCATCACCAAAGCAACTTGGGGAGGAAAGGGTTTATTTGGCTTACACTTCCATATAGTAGTCCATCACTGAAGGAATTCAGGACAGGAACTCAAACAGGACAGGAACATGGAGGCAGGAGCCGATACAGAGGCCATGAAGGAGTGCTGCTTATTGGCTTGCTCACCATGGTTTGCTCAGCCCAATTGCTCATAGAACCCAGGACCACCTGCCCAGGGATGGCACCACCCCCATGGGCTGGGCCCTCCTCCATCAATCACTAATTAAAAAAATGCCCTGTAGCTGGATCTCATGGAGGCATTTTCTTAATTGAGGTTCCCTCCTTTCAGATGACTCTAGCTTGGGTCAAGTTGACACAAAACTAGCCAGGACACCCTCATAGACACACCCAGAAGTGTTTCCATGGTGTTTCTAAACCCAGTGAAATAGACAATGTAGGTTAACCATCAAAGACGCTGAATGAATATAGATCTGTCTCTTAACTCCAAGCATACTTTTCAAAACTCTGTTTCATGGTTGAGATGCTGTCTACAATTTCCAGACTTCCTTAACACATGGCTCACAGTCAGGGCTTCTGAAAAAGGGAAAGCCTGGGTGGAAAGGGGAAGGAGGTAAGAAATCAAGGGATTTTCCTGCTTCCAGTTCCTCTTGGGACTGTTGCAGCAGCAAACTCTGGTGCTGGGGTTCTCCAGACCTGCCACACCTCTCTGTACCTTCACTAGGCCCCTTGGACAGTAGGACATTGTCCCCCACTGTGCTCTGCACCTCCCAGGCCATGCTATCCGAACCATGCAAGCACCTGCCATGCTGCACCTGCACCTGGATGTCAGTCATAGTGCTCTGAGGCCCCATCAGCTGCTGGACAGTTAGATGGACACTTAGCCTTTCCTAAGAGACCTGTCAGTCCCAAAGAGCCCCTCCTTCAAACTCCTCAGTTCTGCAGCAGCACCTGTCCCTTCTGTCTTCCTAACCCTAAGAGTATTAACTGCTTCTTGCACTTTTTGAGCTCTGGCCACCTCAATGTTTCTTCTTTGTTCTAACTTTGTTTCAACTTTACAGGAACTACATCACTAGTTTCCAGTATAAGATCACCTGTTTACTTACACCTGTCAGAATGGCTAAGATCAAAAACACTGAAGACAGCTTATGCTGGAGAGGATGTGGAGCAAGGGGAACACTCCTCCACTGTTGGTGGGAATGCAAACTTGTACAAGCACTGTGGAAATCAGTATGGTGGTTTCTCAGAAAATTGGGAATAAGTCTTCCTCAGGACCCAGTTATACCACTCTTGGGCATATACCCAAGGAATGCTCAATCTTACCACAAAGACACATGCTCAACTATGTTCATATCAGCATTATTTGTAATAGCCAGAACCTGGAAACAACCTAGATGCCCCTCAACTGAAGAATGGATAAAGAAAATGTGGCACATATACACAATGGAGTACTACTCAGCGGTAAAAAACAATGATAGCATGAAATTTGCAGGCAAATGGATGGAACTAGAAAACATCTTAAGTGAGGTAACCCAGACTCAGACGGACATACATAGTATGTACTCACTCATATAAGTGGATACTAGATGTTAGGGAAGAGATGGCCAGACTGCAACCCACAACTCCAGAGGCTAGCTAACAGGGAAAGACCCTAGGAGGGACACATGGATGACCCTGTGAAGGAGAAGTGGATGAGATCTACATGAGTAGACTGGGTGTGTGGGGGTGGTGGTGGCAGAGGGCGAGGAGTGGGGGGATGAGAACATAGGGAATGGGAGGGTCAAGGTGGAACAGGGACAGAGTGGGAGGGCAGGGAAGAAGGTACCATGATAGATGAGGACATCATGGGAATAGGAAGAGCCAGGGTGCTGGGGAGGCTCTCAGGAATCCACAAGGACCACCCCACTTTGGTCTGCTGGCAGTGGTCCAGAGGGTGCCTGGACTGGTCTACTCTGGTGACCGGTCTAGCAAATAACCTAGCTGTCATCATAGAGCCTTTGTCCAGTGACTGATGGAGGCAGATGCAGAGATCCACGGCCAGGCATCAGGCTGAGCTCTGGAAATCCAACTGATGAGAGATTCCACAGGGGAGGGACGTCAAGATCATGATGGGAAGACGGACAGAGATGACCGGCCACACTAGTGGAAGCCCATGAACTGTGGAATGGTGGCTGTGGAGCCCCCATGGGACTGGACTAGGCCCTCTGGATACGGAAGACGGTTGTTTGGCTTGAACTGTTTGGGGGGCACCCAAGCAGGGGGATCAGGATCTGTCCCTGGTCTATAGGCAGGCTTCTGGGAATCTGGTGCCTGTGGTGTGACGCCTTGCACAGCCTTGGTACAGTGGGAAGGGGCTTGGATCTCCCTAGGCTCAGTGTGCTGGGCTCTGCTGACTCCCCATGGGAGACCTTGATTTGGGGGATGTGGAGATCTGGGGTGGCTTGGGAAAGAGGGCTGGGGGGGTGGAAGGAGGGAGGAGGGGGCAATCTGTGGATGGTATGTGGAGTGAGTAGAAAATTTCTTAATAAAGAAAAAAAAAGATCACCTGTTTGCAATACCAAATACTAAAAGAACATATAGCATATTAGGAATCTGCAAGACCAAAATTAGCATTTTGATCCTGCTTGACTTTGAGGACCATTAAAACACAATAGTAAACAAAACTCAAATTAAGCTTCATGCATAATCCTGGTGGGAGACTGCCTCAGTTTCTACCCTGAACTGCTGCCTCTCAAACTTTCAGGCCAATAGTCTTGCATCCTCTGCTCATGTCAGCAATGTACTTCCAGAGCTGACCAGTCGTTTCCCTTCTTTAAAGAGCGTAAGCATTCTAACAGGCTGGGAGATCGCTCACTGGGTACAGTGCTTGTGGTACAAACAAGAGGCTCCACATTCAGACCCTCAGCACACAGGGAAAAAGCCCTGAGACAGAGTTTCCCTGTGTAGCCCTGGTTGTCCTGGAACTCACTCTGTAGACCAAGATGGCCTCAAACTCAGAAATCATCCTGCCTCTGCCTCCTGAGTACTGGGATTAAAGACACACCACTCAGCTCTTAGTTCAGTGCTTGTGACCGGAGCTCCTGAGGAAAGCATCCTGATGTCAATCTCCGGCACCCCAAAGCATCCTGATGTCAATCTCCGGCACCCCATACACACACATGCATACACACACATATACCACACACTCAACATGCACATGAGATAAATAATCTATTGGGCAATCATAAACATTAGCTTTATTTAAAGATGCACTGTTGCAATGATTTATGTAAACACCGAAGCTCATTTTACATAATATACAGAGATACAAATGTGTATCTTTGAGTAGGCTTTCAGAGAATAATAAATCAAGTTTTTATTTCTAGTGCCCTGGAGATTTTCTTACAGTCTAGAAGAGTGTAAGATAAAAATAACAGCAATATTAGACTGGGGACAAAAAAAAAAAAAAAAAGACTTTTGTCAAGAGGAAGAAGGGCAGGCTGTGAAAGAGAATCTAAAAAGAAGAACCCACTAACCTGCTCTGCTTTCAGGCTCCTCAATTTGAGGAAGAAATCTGTAAGCAGGGAAAGTTGGAAACCAGTTCTCTAAATTAACTCCCGATGTAGGCAAACAGAAACCAAAAGCTTGGTCAAAAACAAGTTTGAGGAATATTAGTTTTAGTGCTTGTGGGCATGAGAACGCACAGGGCCTCATGAACACATTGCAAGCACTCTATGACTGAGTTACATCAGTCCCTAAAATATTCTTAAAGAGCCAGGCTGTTAGTGTATTTAGTGCTGTAATATCAGCACATGGGAGATGGAGGCAGAAGGATCAGAGTTCAAGACCAGCCTCAGCTAAACAGGGAGTACACAGCCAGTATGAGGACCCTGTCTAATAATGTTAAAGAGCTGTACTGAGTGGCAAATCCCCAGAACTCTTTCTATTTGTTGGTCTCTTATTTACACACAGAAATCAAGTTAGAATTACAACAGAAGTAATTTAGTTTCCCGAGGGAGTAACCTTTGTTACTCCCTTCTCTACCTTTGTAGAGAACTGGATTTAACAATGGGCATTCCTACCAACGTCAACCACACTCTCACTATTCATGCTGCTGAGCTGTGAGTCTCACACTCAAGACGTCCAGGTTGCACTCCAGCTTCCCTCAACACCGCTGACAACATCCTACCAGCAGAAAGGGTCACACCAGCCTGAGGGAGACCTCGACTTACCATAATTCTAAAAGCTCTACTTCAAAGATAAAATTCTATCTCCTATCTCAATTATTACAGAGTGAGCAACTTACAAGGCTCACTTACTTTGTGAATATATAATTAATTATCCTTCATCTATGAAGCAAACTGCACCTACTATCCCAGGCTATGGAAACCACTGGCAAGGATGACCATGTTTGGCTCTGAGCAGACTGGTCCATACATACAAATTCAAATTTCCTGAAGGTATTTCAGCACCCTCTCTGGATTGACTTGGACAATGTTTAACATATCACTAGGTAAGATCCAAGGCAGATCCATGCACGTTTTTATGAACTACACGCAGCACTGACAGAGACAACATACTGAGCTGAAACATCAGACCAGGCTCACTTGAGCCACCACCTCAGCTGCTAACAGGGAGCAGGGAGTGATGTGAACCTAGATGTTGGCTAGCTGTGAAGCAGCAAAGAGCGATGCGGCACATTTCTGTCCTAAAGGCATTCAACTATTCTAGAATACTCCAAGCCAGACAGACATGTTTGGGATGAATGTGGCCGAACTTGCTAGGGTTAAGATGATGTGATGTGCTACTTAACAGAAGCATTTCTTTTGGGCACACCTGAACCGTCAAGTCCCCCTGCTCCTGCACACTGGAGCCTTTAATATTCTAATGTCATTTGAACACAAACACTGTAGTACTACAACTACTGATCTGATAGCAAACAGCTACTAAGTGTGTCATGGGCAAGTCAGTGGCAAAAATAATATTGACATACTGGACAAACGATTCATCTCACAGGTGGGACAGAACAGAAGGTATGCGATTTCATCATGCTACTCAGAAAGAAGCTGCATTCAAAACTGATGAGTTATTTCTGTCGAATTTTCTAGTTAATATTTCAGGACCAAAGTTTACCCTAGGTAGCTCAAACTACAGAAAGTAAAACTATAGATGAGGTCACTAGTAACACGAATTACAGATCAACTCTATGTCCCTGGCTTAGTTTATTACATTAAAAAAAAAGAGAAGCAGCACATATTTGGGGTATAAACCACATCTGATTTCAATACTTTAATATTGAAATTTACTCTCATACTCATCAAGTTTTGTCTTTCACTGTCTATATCTCAGGAGACAGTCAAGGTGAACTTAACATGATGAAGCATTCTCAGCATCTCAAAGTACTAGGCTTCGTCTCCTCCAAATTCAGTCAATCTTACTTCTTAGTCACTATGTTGCAGCATATAGAAAATCAGTTAGCACAACATGGAGGTATTGCTCAGGTAAAGCCCTAGAGATGTGGATTTGCCATCCCGATTCCTTCACACTCGATGATGTAAGTGTCTTTAGAGGCATCTTCTTCCTCTTCTGACTTCTTCACAGTGAATTTGGCCTGGAAGCAGAATATTAGCATGTAAGTACAATGAAGAGGACAGAGGACAATCCTAGAATTTGAAGTTAAGGAGACAGTTAATATCAAGTCCATTTGTTGAAGAAGATACACACATAAAAATCAAGTGACTTGTAAAGAAATCCAGTAGCTTATTTTGTCGTGGGGCCATGGTTCTTGTTCACTGTTGTGGAGTCTGTTGGAACAGAGCAATCAGGCTCCCCCACACCCACTGACTGAGAACACAGAGAGAGATATGTGCAGCTAAGTGGAGCTTCTGAAGCGCTGAGTGTTGTTGGGAACTTTTCTCTTCCCCTCTGTTGTTCTAAAACATGGGCCTGAATCATTTACCTGTCAGATATGACATTATTTGCTCTCACGAATTTTTTCCTGCCAATTTAATCCTCTAAATACATAATTCAAGACGTTAGTTCAGAAAGGGTGGGTGGGGTGGAGGGTGGTGGTGACTGCCATCCTTCATCACTGAGCCTAATGCTCCAGTTCTCACTTGTTAGCTAAAGCCGGCTTTGAAGTATGTGATCTGTCACTGTGCTCTGGAAGCATCATTTTTAAGGAAAATGTAGTTCCTATTAACAAAACTGAATTTAACTCAAAACAACTGAACAGGTTTGAGATTCTGGCCAAGGGATTTCAAGTATGCCTTAAGTTTTAGGAGTCTCTAAAATACAACAATCTGAAACCATCATCCTGTGATCTTTCTGACCAGCCATGTTCACAAGCTTTCAGTTTCTGTTTATGTAACAGTGAACTAACTGTACAAGTAGACAGCTAAAAATGACCCTGGAATGAAGAAACACTGAACACTGAGCAAGGGAGCCAAACTCTTTCTGTAGTTGTGTGTCTGCATTTTTCAAATTACAAACGTGAAAATATGAAACACAAGTAATAGATAGGGAATCATTTCAAGTTTATGCTTAAGCGTACTTACAGAGAGCCTAAGAGAAGATCTAGGTGAAGTTACAGATGAGCTATTTGCACTAAAGCACAGAAAAATAAAGATACTTTGGCCCAAGTCACCCAGTTAAAATACAACAAAGGGGCTGGGTGTGGTGGTGCATACCTTTAATCCCAGCACTCAGGAGGCAGAGGCACTTGAGTCTCAATGAGTTCAAGGCCAGTTCCAGGCCAGCCTGATCTACAAAGCAAGTTCCAAGACAGCCAAGGATACACAGAGAAATTCTGTTTACACACACACACACACACACACACACACACACACACACACACACACACACACGAGCCAAGTGTGGATGGTAAAGACCTATAAGCCCAGCATGCAGAAAGCTGAGGTAGGAGAATCTTGAGTTTGAAGCCAGCCTAAACTACACTTAGTAGGACCCTTTTTCAAGAAAAACATCTCCCACTACACACACACATGCACACACACAGCTGAATAAGAAACAAAAGTCACAACCCCCCGCCCCCCAGCTCAGGGTACTTTCTGCTGTGGACTCACTTAAGTAATGTGTAAGTGGCTACAAACATACAAAGTATTGTACAACTTAAGGCTACAATAAATAAAACTTGATAGCAACTAGCAAGAACATCAGTCTATGACGGAGAAGAGTAATAAGTGTAAATACAGCGGAAGTAGAAATAAAGGTAAGCGCAGGGGGCTGAAGAGATGGCTGTGCCCGTAAGAGCACTGGCTGTTCCTGTAGAGGACCCAGATTCAATTCCAGCACCCACAGGGAGGCTCACAATCACTGCTAACTCCAGCTCCTGGGGACCAGACACCCTTTTCTAGTTTCTCAGGGAATCAGGCACAAATATGATACCGACATAAATGCAGACAAACCATCCATAAATATAAAATAAAATAAAAATAAACTGAAAAATAATAATAGAGAAAAAAAAGAAAAAGAAAAAAATAATAATAGGATGAAGCTCAATGATAGAATGCTTGTCCAAAATGCACAGATCATTGGTTTGGACTCTCAGAACAATAAAAAAAAAAAAGCTAGAAACAGGGAATGAAGGACATTATAAAAGAGTTAATTCACTCTTGTCATCAGATATTATCTGCCTTCTTATCAGGCTTTTCTTGATTTAAGTGACACCTATCTATTCCTTACAACGACAACAACCGAAACTCAGGTAGACGTTCTAAGGACTGCACGGAGAGGAAAAGCAGGGCCGGCTCTGTGCACCTCCACAGCTGCGATGCTAACTTTTCTTTAGCTAGTGAACTATTTTTGGTGATAGAGGGAGTGAAGATTTGACACAGGGTCTTGCTATACAGCACTGGCTGGCCTCGAACTCCTGATCCTCCTGCCTCCACTTCCCAAGTGCTACAATGAGAGAGAGAGAGAGAGAGAGAGAGAGAGAGAGAATGAGAGAGAATGAGAATGTGTGGTGTTCTTTGCTTCTTTTTTATGGTTGTTTACTTTGTTTTACTCTTGTTTGTCTTTTTTACTTTGTTTTCTTAAGTAAGGTGTTGAGGTGGAAGTATGGGAAGGTGGGGAGGATCTGGAAGGAGATCAAAGAGGGGAACCCATGATCAGAATATTTTGTATGAAAATAACTATTGTCAATAAAAAAAAAATAAAAAAAGACTATTCTTTAGAGAGTTTGATGTAGTTCTTTTATCCTTTTATTGCTCTTGTTTTGAAAGAGTCTCTACCTTATAGCCTAGGCTGGCCTGAAACATGCCATGTATACAAAGCTGACCTCTGACTCCCAAGTGCTGGATTACAGTCATTCACTACCATGCCTCATGCGAATTACTTTTATAATTTCAAAAAAGTCAGAAACCTCATAAAATTTGAGCCATAAATTTTACAGAATTATATTACAGAGAACATAGCATCTGGGTGTGGTGGCTCTGCTGTACCCCAGCACGCCAGAGGCGAGGCGAGAGGACCACAAGTTCTACTGGCCCATTTACGAAGTTCAAAGTCAGCTCAAAATATAGACTGAGACCCTGACTCAATAAAACTAAACTAAAACCATGCAAAAAGTAAAAGAGAAATTCCAAAATAAAAATATGCTCTGGTACTGGAAAAGGAAAAGAAGAAGCTGTGTGTATTCATAGTAAAAAAAAGTGAGACGCAATCTGAAAAGGGAAAAAACTCCACAGTGGCTTTACTACCCAGAGGAAATAGTTTATACATTTTCTACAAAGAAATTAACATTAGTTTCATGGTGAAATATATACTCATCTTTCTCTCTCTCTCTCTCTCTTTTTAGTTAAGAATCCTGAAGAAAAGGTACAAACATGAACTCACACAGTATTAAAGGCAGAATGCCTTCACTGATGGCTGCAGAACCACAGGACCTTCAAAAACGTCCTCCAGGTGTGCTCAAAGCCCAGGCTGTGAACAGAACTATACACTAAACAGCCCCCTCTCTGCTCATTTTACGCACAGCACCCACCATTTCACACAGAGTACAACACACAGACAGATGCTGAGGGAGCTAAGAGCCTGCCACGTAGGGAGCCCAGGAGCGGCATCAACTGTGATTACTACTGGGTTTCCCGTTTATTAACCCAGTTGCTCTTGCTAACAGAATACTCACCTTGGCTAGTTGTTCAGCAAAATGAATAGCAGTTTGTGTGTGCAGTGTGACTGGTCCTGTTTTTATTCTGGAAATTCCATTGGCTAGCGCCATGAAAATAATCAGCTATTAAAAAAGAACAAAGAAGAAAAAAAATCTCACAAATATCCAAATACTCAGAATTTCCAATTCCACAGCCACCCATAAGGAAAATGCTACTAGAAATCAAAATAGATTTAAAAAGGAATTACAAGAATAATCTGCATTTTCTTTGTTTCCAGAAGCTTTAGATGGTGACAGAGAATGTGTCAACCAGAGTCTGTGGCTTGATTAATGTTTAGCAAGACTAACTTTTAAAAATTGATGTTTCAGAATAAAATAGAGAGCTGGACATTGTTACACTAATTAGACCAAATATTTCTGCAAGCTGGCATACAAGACAAGCTCTTCCCTTCTAACGTCAGATTTTAAAAGGCAAACGGAGACTACAGAATTCCTGGGAATACGGATTTAGGCAAAAAGGAAATGACTGAACATAAGGAGAACTGTTCCAAGAAAACGGTCAAGAAATCCTGCAGAGTCCCCCTCTTCCTTCCCCTTTTTCTCCTCTGTTCTGAGATCAACCACAAGACTCCAGGCACGTTAGGCAAGAGCTCTACCACCGGCCAGCCTGCGAACACAGCTCTAAAAGCTGACTGGTGACTTGAGAGGAAGATATGGTAGAAAGGAAAGTGTACAGACAGTGAAATATAAAAATGTCTTCTCTGCCAAGCCTGGAAGTGCATGCCTGTAATCCCAACACTGCAGAGGCTGAGGCGGGGTGGTGGATGTGAGGCTAGAGAGTGAGACCTTGTCTCCAAAGAAGAGTGGAGATACAAACATTCAAGTGAAGTGTACTTCCCAATGTGAGTCCGCTCTTGGGTTTGAGAGCCTGTGACATATCCCAGCTGAGGCATCACCAGGCACAGGAAAATGAATGAGCACTTAAGGAAAGTCTGGGCAGTGATGAATCTGGGAGTTGTCACTACACAATTGGTACTTAAGTCATGAGACTGGAAAAAGTAATCAAGAAAAAATAGGTAAGAGAGCATGAGCCTCAAGCACTTTAAAACTGACAAGAAGAAGTGTCCCCTACCCCCACCCATTGCAGCCCCAGCTGCAGGCCAGCAGGCAAGACTCCTGTGGACAGGCCTGACCACCCTACCCATTTGACCCTGTAATCTACAAGCCCTACTCCATCCCCCTCAGGGTAAAAGGCTTGGAAAAGACTTTCCAATCAAATGGGCTTAAGTAGCAAGCCGGTGTAGCTATCCTAGTATCTAACAAAATAGACTTCAAACTAAAATTACTCAAAAGAGATCGAAAAGGACATTACATATTCATCACAGGAAAAATCCATCAAGATGAAGTCTCAATTCTGAACATTTATGCCCCAATACAACAAGGGCAACTATATTTGTAAAAGAAACATTACTAAAGCTTAAACCACACATAAAACCCCACACACTAATAGTGAGAGACTTCAACATCCCACTCTCACCAATGGACAGGTCTGCCAGACAGAAACTTAACAGAGAAATAAGAGAACTAACAGACATTATGACTCAAATGGACTTAACAGATATCTACAGAATATTCCACCCTAAGACAAAAGAATATACCTTCTTCTCAGCACCCCGTAGAAACTTCTCTAAAATTGAACACATGCTCGGTCACAAAGCAAATCTCAACAGATACAAAAAAATTAGAATAACCTCCTGTATTTTATCAGACCACCATGGCTTAAAGTTAGAATTCAACAGCAACACAAATTACAGAAAGCCTACAAACTCATGGAAACTAAACAACACTCAACTGAACTACCACTGGGTCAAAGAAGAAATAAAGAAATTAAAGACTTCCTAGAATTCAATGAAAATGAATGTACAACATACCTAAACTTATGGGACACTATGAAAGCAGTGCTAAGAGAAAATTCACAGCATTAAATGCCTACATAAAGAAGTTGAAGAAATCTCACACTAGCAACTTAACAGCACACCTGAAAGCTCTAGAACAAAAAGAAGCAAACTCACCCAGGAGAAACAGATGCCAGGAAATAATCAAATTGAGGGCTGAAATCAATAAAATAGAAACAAAGAGAACAATGCAAAAAAAAAAAAAATCAATGAAAGAGTTGGTTCTTTGAGAAAATCAACAAGACACACAAACCCTTATCCAAACTAACCAAAAGGCAGAGAATATCGAAATTAACAAAATCAGAAATGAAAAGGGAGACATAACAACAGACAATGAGGAAATCTAGAGAATCATACTTCAAAAACCTGTACTCTGGGGCTGGAGAGATGGCTCAGAGGTCAAGAGCACTGACTGATCTTCTAGAGGTCCTGAGTTCAATTCCCAGCAACTACATGGTGGCTCACAACCATCTGTGAGGAGATCTGGTGCCCTCTTCTGGCCTGCAGTCATACATGCTGTATACATAATAAATAAATAAATCCTAAAAATAAGTAAGTAAATAAATAAATAAATAAAGACAAAAAAACCTATACTCCACGAAATTGGAAAATCTACAAGAATTTTCTGAACAATTTTCTGGATAAGTACCACATACCCAAATTAAATCAAGACAGAAACCAAACAATTTTTTTTTTTTTAAATATGGAACGCTTCACAAATTTGCGTGTCATCCTTGTGCAGGGGCCATGCTAATCTTCTCTGTATCATTCCAATATTAGTATATGTGCTGCCAAAGTGATTTAAATAGACCAATAACCCCTAAGGAAATAGAAGCAGTTATTAAAAGTCTCTCAACCAAAAAAAGCCCAGGGCCAGATGGTTTCAGCACAGAATTCTACCAGAATTTCAAAGACGAGCTAATACCAATACTCTTCAAAGTATTCCACACAACAGAAACAGAAGAAACATTGCCAAACTTTTTATGAGGCTACAGTTACCATGATACCCAAACCACACAAAGATGCAACAAAGAAAGAGAACTACAGACCAATCTCCCCCATGAACATTGATGCAAAAATACTCAATAAAATACTGGCAAATCCAATCCAAGAACACATTAAAAATCATCCACCATGATCAAGTAGGCTTCATCCCAAAGATGCAGGGATGGTTCAACATACAAAAATCTGTCAATGTAAATACACCATATAAACAAACTGAAAGAAAAAAAAAAAACACATGATCATCTCATTAGAAGAAAGCCTTTGACAAAATCCAACACCCCTTCATGATAAAGGTCTTGGAGAGAGCAGGAATACAAGGAACATACCTAAACACAATAAAGGCAATTTACAGCAAGCAGACAGCCAACATCAAATTAAATGGAGAGAAACTCAAAGTGATTCCACTAAAATCAGGAACAAGACAAGGCTGTCCACTCTCCCAATATCTATTCAATATAGTACTCGAAGTCCTAGCTAGAGCAGTAAGACAACAAAAGGAGATCAAAGGGATACAAATTGGAAAGAAGTAGTCAAACTTTCAATATTTGCAGATGATAGGATAGTATATATAAGTGACCTCAAATATTCTACAACTGATAAACACCTTCAGTAATGTGTCAGGATAAAAGATTAACTAAAAAAAAAAAAATTAGTAGCTCTCCTATATACCAATGATAGATGGGCTGAGAAAGAAATCAGAAAACATCACCCTTTACAATAGCCACAAATAATATAAAATACCTTGGGGTAACTCTAACTAAACAAGCGAAGGACCTGTATGACAAGAACTTTAAGTCTCTGAAGAAAGAAATCAAAGAAGATATCAGAAAATGGAAAGATCTCCCATGTTCATGGATAGGTAGGATTAACAGTAAAAATGGCAATCTTATCAAAAGCAATCTACAGATTCAATGCAATCCCCATCAAAATTCCAACACAATTCTTCACAGACTTGGAAAGAACAATACTCAACTTCATATGGAAAGGTAAAAAACCCAGGCTAGCTAAAACAATCCTGTACAATAAAGCAACCTCTGGAGGCATCACCATCCCTGACCTCAAGCTCTATTAGAGAACTATAGTAATAAAAACAGCTTGGTACTGGCATAAAAAATGTGGACCAATGGAATTGAACTGAAGACCCTGACATTAACCCACACACCTATGAACACCTGATTTTTGACAAAGAAGCCAAAACTGTACAATGGGGGTGGGGGGGGAAGCACCTTCAACAAATGATGCTGGCATAACTGGATGTCAACATGTAGAAGATTCCAAATAGATCCATATCTATCGCCATGCACAAAACTCAAGTCCAAGTGAATCAAATACCTCAATATAAAACCAGTTACATTGAACCTTACAGAAAAGAAAGTAGGAAGTAGTCTAGAATGCATTGGCACAGGAGACCACTTCCTAAATATAATACCAGTAGCACAGACACTGAGAGCAACAATTAATAAATGAGACCTCCTGAAACTGAGAAGCTTCTGTAAGGCAAAGGACAGTCAATAAGACAAAATGACAGCTTACAGAATGGAAAAAAAAAATTCACAAACCCCACATCTGACAGAGGGCTGATCTCCAAAACATATAAAGAATTCAAGAAACTAGATATCCAAATACAGAACAATCCAATTTAAAAAATGGGCTACAGAGCTAAACAGAGAATTCTCAACAGAAGAATCCCAAATGGCCAAAAGACATTTAAGGAATTGCTCAACATCCTTAGTCATCAGGGAAATGCAAATCAAAACGACTCTGAGAGTATCTTACACCCGTCAGAATGGCTAAGATCAAAAACACTGATGATAGCTTATGCTGGAGAGGATGTGGAGCAAGGAGAACACTCCTCCACTGTTGGTAGGAATGCAAACTTGTACAGCCACTTTGGAAATCAGTATGGTGGTTTCTCAGAAAATTTGGAATCAACCTACCTCAAGACCCAGCCATACCACTCTTGGGCATATACCCAAGGAATGCTCAAGTATACCACAAGGACACTTGATCAACTATGTTCATAGCAGCATTATTTGTAATAGCCAGAACCTGGACACAAACTAGATGCCCTTCAACCAAAGAGTGAGTAAAGAAAATGTGGTACATATACACAATGGAGTATTACTCAGCTGTAAAAAACAATGATATCATGAAATTTGCATGCTGTGGGATGGTCTGTATGTCAAATGTGTTGCTGATTGGTCAATGAATAAATCACTGATTGGCAGTGGCCAGGCAGGAAGTATAGGCGGGACTAACAGAGAGGAAAATTGAGAGAACAGGAAGCTGGGAGGGGAGACACTGCGAGCCGCCATCAGGACAAGGAAGATGTAAAGTACCGGTAAGCCACAAGCCACGTGGCAAGGTATAGATTAATAGAAATGGATTAATTTAAGCTGTAAGAACAGTTAGCAAGAAGCCTGCCACGGCCATACAGTTTGTAACCAATATAAGTCTCTGTGTTTACTTGATCGGGTTTGAGCGGCTTGGGACTGGCAGGTGAGAGAGATTTGCCCTGACTGTGGGCCAGGCAGAAAAACTCTAGCTACATTTGCAGGCAAATGGATGGAACTAGAAAATATCATCCTGAGTGAGGTAACCCAGACTCAGAAGGACAAACATGGCATGTACTCACTTATAAGTAGATACTAGATGTAAAGCAAAGGATAACCAGACTATAACCCACAGCTCCAGAGAAGCTAGGAAGCAAGAAGGACCCTAAGAAGGAAACATGGATTGCCTTGGGAAAAAGAAACAGAAGAGATTTCCATGAGTAAACGAGGGGGTGTAAAATAGAGGAGAGGGGATGGGGGATGAGAACATGAGGGAACGGGCTGGTCTAGTTGGGGGAGGGACAGAGTGAGAGAGCAATGAAAGAGGTATCTTGATAGAGGGAAACATTATGGGGTAAGGGAGAAACCTGGTGCTAGGGAAATTCCTAGGAATCTACAAAGACGACCCCAGATTAGACTACTAGTAATAGTGGAGCGGGTGCCTGAGCTGGCTTACCCTGGTAATCAGATTGGTGAATACCCTGACTGTCATCATAGAGCCTCCATTCAGTAACTGATGGAAGCAGATGCAGAGATCTACAACCATGCATCAGGCCTAGCTCCAGAGAATTCAGTCGAAGAGAGGGAAGAGGAATTATATGAACAGGGGGAGGAGGGGAGGAGGGGAGGAGGTCAAGATCATGATGAGGGAATCTACAGAGACAACTGAGCCAAACTTGTAGGAACTCACGATCTTTAGACCTACAGCTGTGGAGCCTGCATAGGACCAGACTAAGCCCTCTGCATACGGGAGACAGTTGTATAGCTTGGTCTGTTTGAGGGGCCCCTGGCAGTGGGATCAGGATCTATCCCTAGTGTATGAACTGGCTTTTTTGAGCCCATTACCTATGGTGGGATGCCTTGCTCAGCCTTGATACTGCTTGATCCTGCCTCAACTGAATGTACCAGGTTTTGCTGGAGCCCTTACCCTTTTGGAGGAGGTGGTCGGGTGGAGGGGAGGCTGAAGGGGAACAGGAAGAGGGATGAGAGGGGGATCTGTGGTTGACATACAAAATGAGTAAAAAAAATTCTTAAATAAATGAAAAAACTGACAAGAAAACAGCACTAAGTAGCAAAGTGACTAGAAGAGAGAAGAGCATTTCAGAACCAAGCAAAGAAAATACACCAAGAAGAAAGCAAGTGTGTGAAAGCCAGGCCAAAAAAGGTAGGGACTGAAACTCCAGGAATATTCTAGGAGAAAACTTTTCAAATGATTGGAATAGAACTTTCTATAATTAAACAGCATGTGAAAAAACTATATTCGAGCCAAGTATGGTGACATATATCTGTAATCCCAGCACTCAAGAGGCAAAGTGTATGCTTAGAATTCAAAATCAGTTTGGGCTAGAAGGCAAGATCCTGTCTCAAAAAAAAATAAATTAATTAAAAGTTCCAGGATAGACACATCTGAGCAGAAATACCTTGCATTGAGACCAAGAGAATGAGACAAAAGTGTCTGGATATTTGATGGCACATCTAAAGACATTTTGTGTTCAACATAATTATGTTCCAATCCAGCAGGAAGGATGGTTTTGATCCTGCAGGTGCCATTGCCATTACCTGGTCTTGTAGATACTCGTCCACAGTGCCACCATGTCTAAGATTTGCTAACAGCATTTCAGCAGCTTCAATTCCAACCTTGTCTGCATTCACACCTAAAACAGCAGGTGTAATCATAAAGAAAATAACAACAAATTACTCCAAGTCACCAAGTTTAACGGAACTGAATAAGGTAACACATATTTGAAATCCCAGCACTTGGGAACCTACACAGGATTGTTCCAGGATCAAGGCCAGCCTGGCCTACCGAGTGAAATTCTGTCCCAGAAAAACAAAAAGTTTATTTGGTACCTCCCAATTAGCACTGAGGTAACTTTTTTTAAGGCTCTGAACTTAACCAATGCACTTTTTAGGAAGGACCTTACGTTATTTAATCTTCCGAAACTTGAGAAATGCCAATGCATCAATGCACAAGTGGAGGAAAAACAGGCTGTGCCTGCTTAAGAAATACCAATTATGGAGCCAGTGAGATGGTTCAGCCAGTAAAGGCACCTGTAGCCAAGCCGGATGCCCCAAGTTCAAGCCTCAAAAATCACACGGTGAGAAGAGAGAACCAGCTCCTGAAAGCTGTCTTCTGACCTCCATGTGAGCTCTGTGGCATGTATTTCTTAAAAATACTACTCATGGGCTAGGGATGTGGCTCAGTGCTTAAGCACCTACCTTGAATGTGTGAGGCCCTAGCTTATCCAAAACTATGAAAAATAAATACAAAAACAAAAAAGCAGGGATTGGAGAAGGATACACAGTCAAGAGCATTGGCTGCTCTTCCAGAGGACCCAGATTCAATTCCCAGCACCCACATGTTAGCTCACAATTGTCTGTAATTTGAGTTCCAGAGGGTCCAACACCGTCTTCTGATCTCCCTGGGTACCAGGCACGAAAGTGGTGCACAGAGGTACATGTAGGCAAAACACTCATAATTTAATTTTTAAAAAATTCATTATAAGGCCAGTTTATAACAAAGTTATAACCCAAAGCTATACCTCAGTTTCCAAACTAAAACTTGTGATTTACACAAGTTAGAATTAGTCACAGAAAATTTCATCAGAATATGAAGAATTTTTCTGTATTATCCTAAAAAGAACAGGTGACACTCCCAGAGCAAACATTTAAAGTTTAGTCCTTTCACTGCTGAACCCAGAAGTTAGGGAGGCTGACGCAGGAGGCTTGAGGTTGAGGGCAAGATACCATTCACTGCACACAACAAAACCCAAACAAAAAGATCCAAACAGGTGCTAACCATTCTGAGTACGTCCCTTGTTCTATTACTACTTTTCTACACATCCTAAGTCTTTGGTACAAAGATAAAATACAAAATAACTCAATCAGAAGTAACAAAGTCAAATTCTCCTATATTCTTTAAAAGAAATCCTTGGCTGCAAATAAAAATTTCTTAGGAACTCAGAATAAGTCAATTTTGTTTGTATTTTCTATCTATACATTTACTGGATCATATATATAAAACACACACACACACATACACCTTGAGGAAATTGTCTAGAAAAGCTGTATACGAAATCATCTTTGCAAGATTCCTCCTCAAAATGTTCACAGGAAAGTCCTGAGCACGAGACAACCAGGCAAACCCAAACTACGAGGAATTCTACTGAGAAAAATGTCCTGAACTTGTCCAAATGTCAGTTTCTTGAGAGTTAAAAATAAAAGACAAAGAATTCTGCACTAAAGACAGCCTAAGCTGGGCCCAGTAGCACATGTCTGCAATCCCAGCACTTGGAAAGCTACGACAGGAGGATTGCCAGGCTGGGCTACGCAATGATTACAGGCTAACAAGGGCTAACCTTGTTTGAAGAACACCAAATAAACTAATAAAGTAGAATAAAAGAGTCAATAACCGTGATGGCTCAACACTATGTGAACATAAATAAATCCCACACTGCTTCTAGGCAACTTGTTTAAGTTAACGTGTGGGCATGTCTGTGCAACAAATTCTTCAGGTGTAAGCCGGCACTGTGAATCTGTCGGTATTTGGAAATGCATGCTGCAATTTCATGACTGAGGCGTGGCACCCACAATGAATGTTGGAACAGTTCAGAAATGCACATAACATGTAGCTAAATAGTCACAATGTGCACCTAGGAGAGGGTGTATGAAGGACTACTTGAGGTCTGAAATTTTCTCAAAATACAAAGTTGGGAGAGACGAAAAATTTGCTAGCTCTAATAGTTGACTCTATCTTTTACGTAAGTCAGTCATCATTCTCAACAGTCTACGGTGAGGAGATAAAGATTCTTTTAATGACAACGGGAATTATAGACCCCTCTCCTTCATGTATACCTCTTTTGCCAAGTGATGATCCAGCAAACAAGCAGCCAGTAGATGTCTCAGCAACAATGCTACATAAGAGGAAAAAAAGTATAATTACCAACACTGTAATACTCTAAATTCCACGTAAATTACTGTTAAACAGAAAAATTAAATCTGGTTACCACACTGCAGTAGCGGAACTCCTCCCACAGACAGTGACGTCGCTAACAATCCCCCACCAGCCCTCTAGGGGCAATGGGATTCCTTTGAGCAAAAATTCAGCAGATTCTACTCTCATACGTACAAGGTATTCATTCTGTCATTAGCACTAAGTGGTTACCCGCACACAGCGTTACAAAGCACTCTATGGTCATCTTACATAAAAAGATCTTCATACAAACTCAGTTCTGGCCGAGGCTTTTATTACACAGTACTAGAGCAAAGAAGGCAAGCGCTTACTTTAAACTTTGTAAACTTCTGAATGAGGTGGTGTGAAATGTAAGGATCCACAAAACACTGTACTTCTGCACCTCAAAAGCATCAATTAAAGAATTTTCGTAACTTAACTCCTAACTGGGTTAACATAGTATTTTTAAAAGACATCATTACCATCCTAAGTATTTGTAAATTAATTTCATACTTGAGGTATCTTTAAAAAACTGGAAACATTTCTATTAGCATTAGCTCCACAGATTACTTTCTGATTAGCTTAAATATTTACATTCAGGGGGCTGGAAAGACAGCTCAGTGGTTAAGAAAACTGCTCTTGCAGAGGACCCAAGTTCAGTACCCAGCACTCACTGAGGGCAGCTCACAAGTGCTTAGAACTCCAGCTCCAAGAGAACTGACGCCCTCTCCTGTACTCCACAGATGCCTGCACTCATATGCACAGACCCACACATACACGTAACTAAAATAATAAATCTTAAGAGAAATTTAAGTTCACTACAACTGTCCCTCAGTATTCACGGAGAGTTCATTCCAGGATCTACACAAGGATACTGAAATCCAAGGATGCCTAAGTCCTTTAAATGGTATTGTATCAACTAGTTCACACCTGTAAATCCAGCACTTGGGTTGGGAGGCACCAGGAATACTGACAATCTGAGGCCAGCCTGGACTACAGAGTAAGATCTGTCTCACCAAACCAAGCAACATGCTGAGCATGTGGGACATCCCTATCCTCCCAGAAAGGAGGCAGGAGGATCATGAGTTCAAGGCTATCCTTTAACATACAGAAAATTCAAAGTCAGGCTACACTACATGAGACCTTGTTTCAAAAAACAAAAACAAAAGAGAAATGACATAACACTGACACCAAACTTGTGGGCACATCCTCCTATACACTCTGAATCGTCTCTAGATTCCTTAGACTCCGACTGTAATGTACACACTTTGTTATAGTTGTTACACTGTACTGTTTAAGGAATGACAAGGGGAAAAAATGTCTGTATGCATTTAGAATATAAACTTGTTTTTCCCAAATACTTTTATCTGGAGTTGCTTGAATTACGGTCATAGGACCCACAGATAAATGCTTACAAAGTGCAAGAATCACAAAATACCTCAGGGGAAAAACCACGATGACCATTTTTTTGGTGTTTTGCTTACGACTAATTTAAGGCAGTATCTTGGTAAAAGCCCAGGCTGTCCTCAAACTTGTGACTCTTGGCCCTGTCTCTTGAGTTTGAGAAGTACAGCCACGTGACACCAAGCTTCAGGCAGAAAGGTGTTTTAGGTAGAATGTCCTTACAAATATGTTGTAGAACCCTCAACTGAGCAAACACCCTTCCACTCTGATGGATGATGACTTCAGGGTTTCTACTAATGTGTAAGTCCACACACTCACATGATCCCACTGCCGTTGCCGAAGGCTTGGTCCCTGGACTCCTGCAGAGGCTGGATGCTGACATACAGATCCCTCATCTCCTTTCTGATGCATCGCACAGCTGCCGCCGCCATATCTTTTGCTACCTATTTTGGCAAATCAGAAAACGAGAAAAAATTCATCACTGGTTATTTGGACAATTTGTTTTTCAACTTTGTTGGGGGGGGTGTGTGTTGTTTTTTTGTTTTTTGTTTTTTGGTTGTTTTTTTTTTTTTTTTGGTTTGTTTTTCAAGATAAGGTGGCCCTGGCTGTCACAATCACTTTCAATCCTTCAAAATTATGTAACATAGTTAACTTCTCCATGCATCATTTTAAAACTGCCAGAGAGAGCACTGACTTAAAAAATTTCAAAAGAAAAGACATTCAAATTAAGTTCTGGAGAACTGGAGCGATCGTTCAGCAGTCAGAAGCACCTGCTGCTCTTGCAGAGGACCTGAGTTCAGTTCTCAGCACCCACAATGGGGCTCACAACCATCCATTCAGTTTCTGAAGATTCCACATCCTCTTCTGACCTCAGCAGGTGTAAGGAACACATGTGGTATACATACATACATAAAGTCAAAACTCATACACATAAAAATAAAATAAATTCAGGGCTGGAGCAATAGCTCAGCAGTTAAGAACACTGTCTACTTTTCCAGAGGACCCCCTTTTGATCCCAAGCAGTTTATCACCACTGTAAATCCAGTCCCAAAGGGACTCAACACCCTCTTCCAGCCTCAGAAGGCACTGCATTGTGGGAGCCCATTTCAGGTTTCCCAGTGGCTTTATCCAGCAGGTCTACATAGAGAGGATGATTGGACCACGGGCCTGAGTGCAGGTGTCTGAGATGGTCTGCACTTGGCTGTGCTGGGGGGAGGTCTTTTGCTCCACCCCTTGGCATTCCTATAAATACCCTAGGGCAGAGACAGTTGAGGCCGGATGGAATAGGTTCCAGGCCCTCTCAAGGCTATCTTGTATTTTCCATCTGTTTCTCCCCTCCTCTAAATCCTTCTATCTAATATTTCCTACTGCTCCTACTTAAGAGCACTCTGGGGAAATGTGGGAGTGGTAGGTAACCTCCCTCCCCACTGCACATACATAGAACAGATATACATGCAGGCAAAATACTCATACACACAAAAATAATAAAATAAAACAAAGTTTAAAAGTTGGGCGGTGGGGCTACACACCTTTAATCCCAGCACTTGGGAAGTAGAGACCAGCCTGGTCTCCAGAGTAAGATCCAGGATAGCCAGGACTACACAGAGAAACCCTGTCTCAAAAACCAAAACCAAAACAAACAAATAAACAAAAATAACCAAGTTTAAAAAACAAAAAACAAGCCGGGCGGTGGTGGCGCACGCCTTTAATCCCAGCACTCGGGAGGCAGAGCCAGGTGGATCTCTGTGAGTTCGAGGCCAGCCTGGTCTCCAAAGCGAGTTCCAGGAAAGGCGCAAAGCTACACAGAGAAACCCTGTCTCGAAAAACCAAAAAAAAAAAAAAAAACAAAACAAAAAAGTTCTTCTAGGCAGGGGGGGCACACCTTTAATGGCAGCATTTGGAAGGCAAAAACAAGGGGAACTCTGAGTTTGAGGTCAGCCTGGTGTACCTGGTGAGTTCCAAGCCTGCCAGAGTTACATGGTAAGACCCTGTCTCAAACAAAGCAAAACAAACAAAATAAATGTTTCTTGGGCCATCTTGGTTGAGATGGCTTAGTGGGTAGAAGCACCTGCTGCCAAGCCTGCTGACATGAGCCGGAGCCCCAGAGCTCACATGGCGGAGGGAGAGAAATGGCTCCTGTAGGTTGAGCTCTTTCTCTCCACAAACACACCCTGGTATGTACTCCAACCCCTACTTCCACATGTGCACCATGGAACGCAGCCCAATCCCTGCTCACACAAAAGAGATAAATAGAGCATGGCGGTGGTGGTACACGCCTTTAATACCAGCGCTCGGGAGGCAGAACCAGGTGGATCTCTCTGAGTTCGAGGCCAGCCTGGTATACAGAGCAAGATCCAGACAGGCACCAAAACAACACAGGGAAACCCTGTCCCAGAAAAACCAAAAATAAATAAATAAGTAAATAAATAAAAATAAAAGACAGACAGACATATAATTCAAAACAAAAGTTTTCAGGCTGGGTATGTAGCTCCAAGAGTAAGCAGTGAAACAAGTGTTTGCCTAACTCACATAAATCCTGGGGTTTACTGGGCCTGTAAGTTCAAGGCCATCATCAGCTATATCAGAGCTACACGAGTCCCTGTTTTGAAAAAAAGAAACTAACAACATTTTGGAGGCAGAGACAGGAATAACGCTGAAAGTTCAAGACCATCTGGTTTACCCAGTAAGTTCCAGGAAGCCTGGGTTATTTGTGAGACCCTGTTTTAAACAACAACAAAAACCTCAAGAGAAAAATAATCCAACAAAACCTCAAATTGTCTGAAACTCTTATTTTGAAAGAAAAGACTATTTTAAAAAAAGTTCAATGTTGCAGTACTATCAAGGTGTCCGGAGACTTCTAAGAGCACCAAGACAACTTACTTTTAGTGGCAGAACTCCAGCAACAAAAGCTCTCCCATAAATCTTGGTCACAGAGCCACGATCAGTCAGATTTATTGGGTCCAACTGTTTAACTGGCGACATTCGGACAATCACTTCACCGCCCCCCTTTGGGTAATAGCCCCTAGGCAAAGGAGAACAAATACCTACTGAGTACAAGACAAAGTAAAGCTTACAGGAAGGATACCAAAACCATATATAAACTGGAAATTCCGTGAAAGGTCTAAAGAATATCTGCAGTCTTGGATGTCCACTCTGCGGTGTTAAGACACAAGTGACCAGTATGTGAACATGAGGCCCTGAGTTCAACCCACAGCACTCAAAGAAATTATCACCCCAGCTACACGAGACCATTTCAAGTGTTCAATGGGTACAGCACAGTGACGCCCACTTAAGACAGCCCAGAGCATTTTCCTCACTATAAGCAACTTTACTCGAAGTGCTGTTTGAGAGCATAAGTTCCGCAACACTGGCTCTGCTAGTTTCTGTTTCCCAGGCCAAACACAGGGCTGGCAGGACAGGCAGGCAGATTAATACCTGATGAATATATATGCCACTGAACACTAATAAAATTTTAGCTCAGTTCTATTCATTTATTGCAGATGCTGAGAATTGCTGTGCTTCCATCCTCAAGAATCTCCAAGGAGATGACATAGTTTACAATCTACTAAGATTATAAGTATGGCTGCAAAGAGGTACCAACAGATGAGTAAGCGTGTATGCATCCATCAAGAGTCCAAATAGAAATTATTATTTTCCATTTTAAATATGATCCCTAATTTTTAAGTGAGCAGGGGATAAATAACATGAATTTAAAGGGACAAAGTAGTTGAAGACAGTGGGCAACCCACTGAGTTAGATATGACAATTTGAAAGTAGGAGGAAGCTGAAACTAGAGAGGAAAACTGGGGCAAGACCATAAAGCATTAAGCTCTAGGCCCAACACTTCACTCTTGTTACTGAACAGCAGACAGCTTACAGAGACATCCCTAAAGGCCAGACTTTCTTAGGAAGTCAACTGACTACGCTGTGGAGCAGTCTCTTTATGACCTCAGTCTACACAGCTGAACACTTTACCTGTTCAGAGGCATGGATAACTCAGGAGTGGATGACACAGGAGTGGATGACACAGGAGTGGATAACTCAGGAGTGGATGACAAACACATTGATAACACAGGAGTGGATGACACAGGAGTGGATGACACTAGGTATGAAAATCCCCTCCGTGTAGAAATTCTCATAAAAAACATTTCTCTCCAGAAACAAATGAACACTGCAGGTGGCTGGTAAGGTCCCACAGCTCTGCAGTTTATCTTGAAGCCACAAAATACAATTACTTTCTATAAGAAATTTATCATGAAGCCGGCAGTAGTGCACACTTTAATCCCAGCCCTCAGGAGGCAGAGGCAAGAGGACCTCTGCGAGTTCGAGGTCAGCCCAGTCTACAGAGTGAGTTCCAGGACAGCCAGGGCTATTACACAGAGAAACCCTATCTCAAACAACAACAACAAAACAAACAAAAGAAGAAATTTATCATGAAAGACAATGCACTAACACTATTAGAGTGACAGTTCTGTAAATGTAACTTTTCCACTAATTTTAGAACGTGTAATAGATGAAAAAGGTTAAGGGCTGGGGTGTAACTCATCAACAGGGCCCTGGCCTGGCATGCACAAGCCCCTGGGTTAGACCCCCAGCACGGCCATCAGAAGGGTGGGATGGGGCACTGGGGACTGTGTAACTTACCTCATTTTAATGTCACAATTAAATTTGAAACCGAATTTCTCAACAATTGGCTTGAAAACCTGAAAAAGTCAATTGTTAGTTTAGCCACTGGTATGCACAGACTCACCAAGTTCGATTCTTAAATGAAAACGCTATGCAGTGAGCTAGTCAGTAGGTGCTACAGATAAACAGGAACAACAAACACTGAGATCAATGCTACTGTTCACATGAAAAACCTGTTACACAGCTACTCGGTTAACCTTTAGTTAAGCAGGACTGTGAAAGTCTATCTAATAAGAACCAGCAGCTCCACAGTTGATCCCAGCAATGACAGTATCAACAGTGTGCACTAAAAGACACAGGAGGGAGCTGGTGAACAGCCGTCCATTATGCACTCTGTTTCTCAATGCTGCTAAACCTTATTAGATGATGCTTTACCCTCACTTTTTCTTATTTCATATTAGAAACATTCTTTTCACAACACCCTAAGTTCTTCCCAAGCAATATTTAAACAATATGACACCTGAGCAGAATTTATTGAACCATCCTCTAAGGCAGTGGTTCTCAACCTTCCTAATGTTGTAACCCTTTAATACAGTTTCAGTGACCCCCCCATAAAATTACTTCATTACTACTTCATAACTGTAAGTCTGTTACTGTTATGAATTATTACTATAACTATACAATATGCAGGATATCTGATATTCAGCCTCCAAAAGGGTTTCGACCCACAGGTTGAGAACCACTGCTCTAAGGTAGCATGCCTATGTATGCTCTCCAATGATAATCACAGTTTATACAAGGCTATGCTCAAGGATTTTAACATTCGTCTTTCACAGTAGCTTCTATGGAGTAGTTTCCTCTATGAGAATTACTAGGTAAGGAGGAAGTGACTTTCATTACACATCTCACTGACTAAAAAGCTGATGCTGTCCATCAGAACGGAGTGCTTCAGAAGATGGTAATTAAGGCGGAAGCCCACGAAAACACATGCCATCTACTTGAGATTTGCTCCCTTCTCTAGGCTATCTCATGTGTGTAGGAGGTATAGACGGCACTAAATTTCTGTTTTATTTTTTCAAAGACAGGAGTGGTGATGTAACCCAGGGTGGAGCACTTGCCTAATGTGTAAAGCCCCGGGTTTTCCCCCCAAACATTTCAAAAACTCAAATGGGGAGGGGCCACTTAAGCACTGGTTCATTCACAGATTAAAACCACTTGGCCTTTACTGCAGTAACACTGTGAGTCTCAAATTTATTATGTAAGTGAAAAAAACTAGATTCAGGAGCTGGCACAGGAGCTCGGTTGGTAGCCTGCCTGGCTAGCATGCATGCCGTCATCTTCCAGCATGAACTGGCCATGGTGGTGCACACTTGCAACTCAAGCTCTGCAGGAGGAAGCAGGAGCATTGGAAGCCAAGGTCACCCTCCCTACACAGCGAATTAAGGCCAGCATGGGATACATAAGACCCTGTTTGAAAAGACGGAAAACAGACCAAACCTAAGGCTATACAGAGCATCACCACTTTAGATGACATTGTGAAAAGGGCAAAAGTAAGGGAAAATAGAATAGTGGTTGCCAGGAGTTGGGACAGGACTAGCTACAAAGGTGTGTAATTTATTTAATTTTTTAAATAAAACTATTCCACATCTTAGCTATGGAAATTGGTTCACAGGTACGTGTGTGTGTGTGTGTGTGTGTGTGTGTGTGTGTGTGTGTACAAAATTCCTAAAATTTCATTTAAAGGAATCAATTTAATTGTAAAGAATTATGCCACAATAAACCTAGAGCAAAAAACCCATTAATACAGATTAAATGTCCTTCCGTGAAAATGCTCAGAACCAGAAGTGCTTTGAGCTTCTGACTTTCTCAGATTCTGTAGTATTTGCACACACACAGCAATGGGATGCAAACGTGAAACTCACTCATGTTTCACACCCATTATACACAGAACCTGAATGAATGAATGAAGTCACCTGTGCACCGGAACCTGGGCTGTGATCATAGCCCATCCCAGGAAGTCAGGTGGGAAACGCTGCACTTGTATTCCTGGGGGAAGGAGGTATGAGCACCACTGCACTCGTGTGGAGGTCAAGAGGGCAGCTTTCAGGAGCCAGCTCTGGCCTTCTACCGTGTGGTCTGGGGGCTGAACTAGGTCATCAGGCTTGTATAGCACGTGCTCTGGCTCACTTAGTATTTCAGATTAGAGGTGCTCAAACTGTACTTTTCTCCCCATTAAGCATGCCAATACTAAAATGAAAATAGGCAATTTATATAATAATTGATATAACTCATATACTCATACTTCTAGGTCCTTAAAAAACTCAGTATGAACACTATCTTAATTTATAACACAAACCCTAAAGTGAACCTGATCTGTTCCCTCTCCTGCAACAGGACTAGACAACACATCTGGCAGGAATGTCCACGAAAATGTTGCAGACACATTTAGAGAGCGTGAGGCCGTCCCTTACCATCAAGGTGTAATCAATCTGCGGCGCCATCTCAGCGTTCGTTCCACCTTTCAAACGAAGTTCCGATGGAGAAGCAGCGAAGAGAACACAAGGCATTGAAACCTGCATCAAGAGGCACACACTCCTAAGGAAAAGGCAGAACACGCTTAACCACACTGTTGGGAGTCTCGGAACAGCTGTTACCGCACACCAGTGACTCGTAGCTCAGACAACGGAGAAGTTAGAAAACAGTTTCTGAAGGGTAAGTCCTGAATCTTAAGGAACTATTTCAAAGTAGAAAGATGATAAGCAAACTGCGTTGAGGTAATAAATCAATAGTTTAAGAGGCTTCAGCCTCTCAATTGTGAGGTCTTGGTTGAGTACCCAGCACCAACAAAAATATTAAATTAAAAATAAACATGTGGCAGTTTGCTAGTTCCAGGACAGTCAGGACTACACAGAGAAAATACTACACAGAACTCTGTCTCGAAAAACCAAAATGAATAAATATAAGCACATGAAAATAAAAATGCGGCCGGGGTGGCGGCGGCGGCGGCGGCGGCAGCAGCAGCAGCAGCAGCAGCAGCAGCAGCAGCAGCAGCAGCAGCAGCGCCGCACACCTTTAATCCCAGCACTTGGGAGGCAGAGGCAGTCGGATCTCTGTGAGTTTGAGGCCAGCCTGGGCTACAGGTGAGTTCCAGAAAAGGCACAAAGCTACACAGAGAAACCCTGTCTCGAAAAACCAAAAAATAAATAAATAAATTTTTTAAAAAAAATACAAATCTAAGGTTAAATTCAAGGTTAAACACATTATCTGTTTGACTCTGGCTAAGTTCTGATACTTCATATTATCATTATTATTATTAACAATAAACACATAAAGAATAAAACCTTCAAATGTTTTCTAAAAGTATTTTTTTTTTTTGGGTGTTTTGAGACAGGGTTTCTCTGTATAGTTTTGGTGCCTGTCCTGGATCTCACTCTGTAGACCAGGCTGGCCTCGAACTCACAGAGATACTCCTGGCTCTGCCTCCCAAGTGCTGGGATTAAAGGCAAGCTCCACCACCGCCCGGCTCTAAAAGTATTCTTGAAAGCACTTTCTGAAAATGCATTCCGAACAGCCAAGACTAGAAATATCCACCTGCTTATACCTGGGTTGTTACCATGCACAAAACACTGCTCAGATACCAAGTCACAGCCTGTTCCTACAGCACAGAGTTCATGTGAAGGGATGGCCTTTTACAAAGACTGGAAACTGGATGTTTTACATGGAGTTTTCTCTTTATAGTCTACATGAAGAATTACATACAAAAAATTACTCATAGAATGTTAGGTGTTTTTCAAAATGAAGTATTTGGTCAGATTTTTTTTTAAATGAATGGTTACTGCCCTTCTTCAAAATGAAAATAATCACATCCCTAAGTAGGTTGCAGTTTTAAAGGAATTACATATATCATCTACAGTCAAAAAAAATTCTTTAACATCATATAACAAAGATACAAGCACACTAAACTACAAAGTCTCTATTTCTGGGCCCTGACTGCTTCTCAAAGAGACTCTGCTGTCTGTCTGTCCACAGGTGTTAATAACACTTCTAATGAATCTTTTACTCTAAAGGATATTATAAAAGTCTCTATTACTGATAAGCAGTTTCGTCAATTCTCTAAATACTCATTGGCGGAGTAATGCATGTAGTATTGGAAAAGAAAATACAGGCAATGTAATAGGTCCTCCTAAGAAGTGGAGTCAAGGAGCAAACAAAAAAGAGATGTTTAGCTTACTTACAAACCATGGTTCTAAGCAATCCAACATGTAAAGTGCTTGAACCAGACACAGGACAAAGCTCACAGGACTGCAATCACAACCAAGGATAAAATGCAGCAAGTGTGATAAAAAGTAAAATGGGCTTTCCTGCTAGGACTCTCCTGCTGTTAATCTCCAATGCGGAACCGGACTATCAATTTCAAACTTAAAATTCTCTCACTTGCTAATATATTAGGAGGCAAGAGATGGAGAAATAAATGACTTAGCCAGTAAAGGCTAATGCCACAAGCCTAATGACCTGAGTTCAATCCTGTAACCAAGACAGCAGAAGGACAGAACTGATCCCCACAGGTTGTCCTCTGACCTCCAAACACACTCCAAACTGTTCATGCACATACGTGAGCACATTCGCACACATGCACAAACACACAAATACAAATAAGTGAAATGTTTAAAAATCAGGAGGCAAAAGACTTAAATTCTAATGCCAATTCTTATCCTAACTCTAAGACCATGAATAAATCACTTAATACCATTGGGGTTTGACTTCCTAATTGACAACATGGAAGGTCTGGAATAAATTCAGTCTCTTACAGCTTTAAATTCTATGACTGTTTTGGTTAATTTTTAAGAAGATAACTATGACTTTTTCTTCCTTATTTGTACAGAATAGTAAATAATGTGTTAATGATAAGACACCTCAAATTCTTTCCTTACCTTAGGAAAGTTCTCTCTTGACAGATCTTATTTTAGACCCAATCACAGACCCCTTTGCACAGAAGTCTACTTATACCATAGCTCAGATCTCATGTGTTTCTAAACATCTTCCTAAAATAATTACAATTCAATTTAAAAGTTATTTCTGAACTGTCAAAAGATTTATAATTATTGTGTCTTACTCTGTCAAATTCTTAATAACAGAAAATTACAGTTTAAAAAAAAAAGGCTACTTGAGAAAGCTATCAGGGGCTGGGGATGAACCTCAGTGGCAGAGCACATGCCCAGCATGCTAGAGGCAATGGGTTAAAACTCCAGTACGGGGGGGGGGGGGGGGGGGGGGGGGGGGGGGGAACGGAAGCAATCAGCCAAACAGCTCACAAAAGCAACCCAAACACTGGTTCCTCTCCACATTCTGCTACTGTCATTCTGTTAGTGTGGGATGATATGAGGGATACTTCGAAATTTGCTAAGATCTCCATTTCCCAAAAGGCTGGGTGGGTTTTTGCTGGGGTTTTGTTATTCTTGATTTGTTTGCTTTCTGGTAGTGGGAATTGAACCCCAGTACTTTTACATGCCAATCAAGCACTCCACCACTGAACCAGGCCCCCAGCTCCATTTCCTAAGGGGAAAAGGGAGTAATCAGGATTGCTAAAATGTTTAGACTTGAGCATTTTGCCCCTCCTGCAGAGCTAGAGATTGAACCCAGGGTCTTGAACAAGCAAGGCAAGCCTCGAAAACTACCTACAGTTGCACAGGTATTTATTAAGACAATAAGGGGAAACCAGGTACAGTGACACATGCCTGTAACCTCAGGACCTGGGAGGGTGGAACAGGAGAATCATGAGTTCAACGTCAGTGTGGATGATACAGGAGACCTTGTCTCCAAGAAAAATGATAACAATAATAATGCCTACAACTGCCAGGTGTGGTGGCACATGCCTTTAATCCCAGCACTCAGGAGGCAGAGGCAGGTAGATCTCTGAGTTTGAGGCCAGCCTGGTCTACAGAGTGAGTTGCAGGACAGCCAGAGCTACACAGAGAAACTCTGTCTCAATCATTAATCAATCAATCAACCGAACCCACATCTGAATTGCAGTCTAGATGGAGTATTGAGTGAGACATACCCTGCTGTCTTCGTATCAGCTGTGTGGATTCCACCTCTGATCTTCTCTGGTGTGAAGGTGATCTCTGTTGAGCCGATTTCTGCCCCCTCCAGGTGCCCATCACACAAATCTCGAACCATTTCCAGTCCAGACAAATGCTGAGGCCTTCAGGTCATAATACTGCATCAAAACGTGTGCGATCAGACTGTCTATGCCCCACTCTATGACACAGTTACAGAAGTAATGGCCAGAAAGCAAGTGTGGTATCTTCAACGGCAGGGCTGCAATTGGCGTTTTTTAATGCACTTGGACTCACTGCTTATAGGCAACTTCTTAAAGGTTTCAAGACTGGATATTTGAGCTACAAACGCACGCTGATGAAATTGCTACAAATTCCAAGTGTGCAAAAAAGGAAAAATAAAACTACCTACGAACCACCTGCCTTGCTTGAATTCCACTGAATAACCGATGGCACCTGTATGGCCTGAATTATGTCTCATCCCCTAAATTCCTATGTTGAGGCCTCAACCCACAAAAATGTGATCCTTTACATAAGACCTTTTAAAAATATAATTAACTTAAAGGGAGGCTACGAGGGTGTGCGCTAACAATTTGACGGCTACTCTTATAAAGAGAGATTGATTGGTTAGGGCGACAGGGATGTTTGTTGCTCAGTGTGTAGACTGCTTGCTTTGTATGGAGGGGGCCTTAGGTTTCACCCCCTGAACCACATAAACTGGACATGGTGGCACACAGTAGTAATTCTAGCATGTAGGAGGTGGAGGCAGGAGAATCAAAAGTTCAAGGTTATTCTCCCCATCTCAGGATTTCTGGATTACCCTAGGCTAGATGAGATCTTGCAATAAGAAGAGGAGTAAGAATAAGATTAGAATCTACAGGGAAACACCAGTGGACAAACTACCCTGTTTCAGTGCGTCCCAAGGACAACCCGCAGCCTGTCCTACAGACAGGAAAGGAGGGCGAGGGCCACACTCTGGACGCTGCTCGGGGCATCCTCCGCCCCACAACCCAGGCTCCAATCCCGGGTCTCCCAGCCCAGCGACCTAGACTCCGGGGCCCGGCTCCCCGCCCGCGGTACCTGAGGCCCGGCGTGCTGCGGCCCGCGCGGATCTTCTGCACGCGCAAGGGGAGGCCCAGGAGGCAGCTCAGGGCGGTGGAGACCCTGAGGATCTGGCCGCCCTGCAGAGCACCGGGGAGAAGAAACGAGAGGCGTTGAATGGAGGCCCCACCGCCAGGCTCGCCCCGGCCCCACGCAGCCCCGCACTCACCCCTTCCATGATCCCGCCGTCCACCTCCACCCGCTGCCCCTCCATCGCCGGCGCGCGAGAGCCCGGTCCGCAGCGACCACGCCCCGGTAGCAACGGGGAAAAGACGATGCGCCGCCAAGCCAACAGCCCGGACACTGCGCTTCCGGGCCGAGCTGGCCGGAAGGAGAAAGAATTAGTGCCTCCGGGGAAATCCTTCCGGCGGGAACGAACCCCTCTGTGGACCTGGCCCGCAATCCGTACGCATGCGCGCTGCCCGACGCCCAAAGAGGCTGCGCAGGGGAGTAAGCGGCCTGGATCCCCAAATTCGCAGGGAGCGGGGCTGACCGCAAGGGGGTGACACAGCAAAACCTTCAGGTTCCAGAGACCTTTCCCCACCAGGTACATTCTTCAGTTGTCCCTCAGGCTGGTGTTTTTAATCTCTCTCCACAATCGTGTGTAGCTCAGAGTACCCAAAAGACTGGGAAATGAGTCTGAATTGCCTGAATTGTGTGACGTAAACATCACTATCTCTTAAACTCAGTACTGTCCTAACTCAATATTCTGGAAACACGTTAATTACTTAAGCCCATCTAGAACATGCTCCAAGATACTAATCAGGGAAGTACTCATAGTTGAGATTTGGAATGTTAGCTATGGTTGTATGGTTGAGTTGTTACCGTCAGAGCCTGGGCTCTAGCAGCCCTAACGAAGTAGGTTCAGCCATCCCTCCTCGGTAGCCAATCCAAGAAATGAGTAATAATGAAAAGCAGAAAAAGGAGATTTGTTAAATATGGTCCCATAGGGAAGAGGAAGAAATAGACCAAGTCTATCTTCAGGGTCCAGATGTAAAGTTTAGGTTTAAGTAGGGGGCAATAGACATGCACAACTAAGCAGTCCTGGGCAAGGTGTGGTCCAGGCCAAGACTGACCCGTCATTGGTTCAGTCTCTCCTGCAAAGTGGTCTAGCAGATTTTAGAACTGTGAAATCTCTTCCTGAGAGACAAGCTTTTTCCCCCTCCTCTGGCTGGCTGAGGACCTCGGCTTTTCCCTTGTCCCAGAATAAGACTCTTAGAAAAACTTCATTGTCTCATAGTCTGCTAACCAAAGTGAGAGGCACGAGCCCCTCTTAAGTATGAAGAAGACAGATTAGAGGCCTAAGAGCCTACAGGAAGAGATACCAGTGATGTAATTTTACGGGCAAGAAATAATGAAAAATTGAAACAAGGCTGTGGCTTTGGGAATGGAATATAAATGTTGTACTTTTTTTAGATTAGTTTTTTTATGTGTATGGGAATATTTACCTACACGTGCATCTGTGCACTGTGCCTGATGCTCACAGAGACCTGAAGAGGGCATCGAATTCCCGGGGGCTGCAGTTACAGATTATGAGCCACCAAGCGGGTGCTAAGGATCTGACCTGAGTCCAAAGGAAAAGCAGCCATCTTCCTAGCCCATGCGGTACCTTGATGATCTTACATATTAGATTCCTATTGCAGAAACAACCTCCTCTGGAGAAAGCTTATTCTTTTTATTTTTATTTACTTATCACAGTGCTGGGGACTGATGTTGAGGTTTCTCGCATGCCAAACACTCTACCAAAGAGCTGCAGTCTCCGCCCCAGCTTGTGCTTTCTAACTTGGCTCTGATCTGTTTGCACCATTCTAGCTTCTTTTGGTGGTAGAAGGAAGTGGACAAGACAGAAGTAAGGTGTAGAAACCATCGAAGAAACTATAGATAATATTGTAACCGACCTTGCAGGAATGGGTAAAGTCTACAGAGATATTTGGAATTGGGATTTTCCCAGGAGTCTTATGCTGGAAAAAGGAGACTAAAGCCTGATGCCAGCCAGAGAGAGAACTTGTCTGGACAACTCGTTAGACCACCCTGCGGGAGAGACTGGATCCGAGACCATGTTGCATCAGTGATGGGCAGGACCACACCTTGGTGGGACTGCTTAGCTATATACACTTCCAATCTTCTACTTTAAACCGAAACCACAAAAATGGACTTGGGGGATGTCTTAGTTGGGGTTTCTATTGCTGTGAAGAGACACCATGACTATGGCAATGCTTACAAAGGAAAACATTTAATTGAGGTGGCAACTTACAGGTCAGAGGTTCAGTCATAGTGGCAGGGAGAATGGTGGCATGCAGGCAGACATGGCGCTCGATATATCTTGATCAGAAGGCAACAGGAAGTGGGCTGTGATACTGGGAGCAGCTTGAGCATAGGAGAACCCAAAGCCCACCCCCCTAGTGACACACTTCCTCCAACAAGGCCACACCTCCTAATAGTGCCACCCTCTTTGGGGGCCATTTTTTTTTCAAACCAACATAGTGGGGGTCTTTAGATTTTCTTATTCCTTATCTCACCCAAATGTGGCCACAATGAATGAATAAATCTCTCTCTCTCTCTCTCTCTCTCTCTCTCTCTCTCTCTCTTTCTCTCTCCCATTTTCGTCTCCCCTCCCCCTCCCCTCTCCCCTCTTAGTTTCTTAAAATGGCAAAATGGCTTATTGAAGATAGGCAGAGCCTGGCTTGTTAGGGCTTCCAGGGCATAAGCTCTGACCCTAATAACTCATCATCATCATCATCATCATCATCATCATCATCATCATAATAATAATAATAATAAGCTTGTAGAGTGCTATGCTAATGACCACAATAAAAGTTGCAGGGTTGGTGTTCCTGTCTTTGACCAATAAGGGATCCAGGTCCAGCTCTACATATGCATTCTAAATGAATTTCAAAAGAACAGATGTACAGTCAGACTTGGTAGTACATGCCTTTAATCACAACACTTGACAAAGGCAGGGATCTCTGAGTTTGAGGTATCTCTGAGTTTGAGGTCAGCCTGGTCTACAGAGCAAGTTCCATGACAGCCGGAGGTACACAGAGAAACCTTGTCTCAAAAACCAAAAAAGAAAAAAAATGTGCACTTCAGAAACAAAAATTATCCCAGAAGGAAAGTCTGAGACAAGTAAAAAATGATGAGCTGAGAAATTGTAAACATCACATAGGAAAACAAAACAATGTAAGTCGAGATGTGGCTGACAAAAGTGAATCCCCTGATCTCTATCTGGAGTCAAAGCATCAGTTCAGACAAACTGATAGAGTTAAGACTGTACACACTAGCTGGGTATGGTGGTGCACCCCTAAATCCCAGCACTGGGGAGGCAGAGGCAGGCAGAGCTCTGAGCTCAAGGCTAGTCTGGTCTACAGGAAGTTCCAGGACAGCCAGGGCTAGACAGAGAAACCCTGTCTGGGGAAAAAAAAAATTAAAGAAAGAAAGATTGTTGATACAAAATACTCCAAAGGGAATAAGAAGTCGCCGAAAAGTATCATGCTGACCCTGTATCCTGGCTTTCTAAGGATCCCATCTGGGTGGATCAGCGGCCCCTTACAAAAGAAAAAAGATAGTAGCTGCCCCAGTGCTAGTCTCAGAATGACTGGAAAAGGGCTTAGAGAAGAAACTCTCAGACCATGAAATTCTCCCATTTTTGTGATTAAGAAAAGGTAAGGAAAGCAGCATTTGCTGCAGACTTTCTATTGACTTAAACCCAAGTCTGAGCAGTCCTCTCTGGTGAATACCCCACAACACCTTGACTACATAAGCCCTTGTCTCAGATAACTAAATAAATAAATAAATAAATACAATTTGGTATTAGACTTAAATTTTAAAAAAGCATTGTCATTGACTAAAAACAGTCAAAATAGAGGCTACATTATGTTAAAAAAAAGTGGGCTGGAGAGATGGCTGGGAGGTTAAGAGCACTAGCTGCTCTTCCAGAGGTCCTGAGTTCAATTCCCAGCACCCACATGGTAGCTCACAACCATCTATAATGAGATCTGGTGCCCTCTTCTGACATGCAGACAGAACACTGTATGCACAATAAATAAATAAACCTAAAAAAAAAAGCGCTATGCCATCAGGTAGATAGAAATCAAAGCCATCATGAAACAGTGTGGGAAACCTACCAGGATGACTCATAAGGACCAGTGTTTAAGGATATGGAGAAACCAGAGACTCTTCATGAACTACTGTGGATGGGAATGCACAATGATACAGTCCCCTCGGAACACAGCCTGGCAAATTCTCAAAAGGTTAAATGCTGTATTACCCAGGCCTTTAGTAATTCTGTCCCTGGCAGAAGTTAAACGTATCTATACAGCTGGGCAGCGGTGGTGCACTGGGAGGCAGAGGCAGGTGAGTTTGAGTCCCAGGCCAGCCCGGTCTACAGAGTGAGTTCCAGGACGGCCAGGGCTACATGGAGAAACCCTCTCTCAAAAAAGGAAGGAAGGAAGGAAGGAAGGAAGGAAGGAAGGAAGGAAGGAAGGAAGGAAGGAAGGAAAGAAGGAAGGAAGGAAGGAAGGAAGGCTGCACAAAAGCTTTTGTCTAAATGTTCAGAAACAGCATTATTTACTACAGTCCCAAAGCAGAAATAACACCAATGTTATAAAAACAAAACAAAACAAAAAAAACACAACAACAAAAACAAAGCAAAAACCAAAAAACCCACAAAATCATTGAAGTTGGAGCTTTCAGGTTATTGTGTATATGAGAACTGGAAATTGTCAAACGAAAACAGCACCGAGTCTCAGTTTTACAGAAGTTATTGTTTAGTTTAGCGAGCTCCTGCTCAAGTCAGCAGGAAAAACCACCAAGAAGTCTGAGATGGAGCCCAGTTGGTAGAGTTGGCCTGGCAAGCACAACAGGTCATTTTTGCCACAATGGTGTGTATTCAAGGACCGGGTACTGCATGAAACCCTGTCCAAAAAAAAAAAAAAAAAAGAATAAATCAATAAGGAAAAAAGGAATACACACAACAGAGAGGAAACAGGCTAAAAGCATGAAGGAAGTGTTTGAAAACTCAGTAGTCAGGGTAGGTGTGGGTGACACATGCCCTCAGTCAACCAAGGCAGGTAGATTTCTGGGAGCTTGATGTACATACCAGTTCCAGGACACCATGGCTACCTAGTGAGACTGTGTCTCAAAAAACCAAGAAAAAAGAAAGAACCAACAGACATGTTAAACCTGCTCAACTTTATTGATAATTAAGAAACTTTAAATTAGCACCATAATACTATGTTATAATTAAATATTTTAAGTCTGTCAAATGAGAAACAAAGAATACTCCCACATAAAGCTATTACACGAGTTATTTTGTCCAATCCCATTGCA